AAAATATACAGTATACAGATTTCTTGATTTTACCATAAATAGTTTAAAGTCCGCCTAAGACTTTTCCACTTGGTAAATAAGATTTTCCAACTTTAGTAAGAGCTGCAACCCTACCAATCTGGAAATTAGGCTCTTCATTATTTAAAATAATAGAAAATTACTTTTCTACAGTCTTGTCCTTTCTTCTTAAGATTTCCAAATGAAAACCGTGGTGCCATTACTCCATTTCTTATTTCTTATCTAAATACGTACAGCATTAGTTCATTTTTAATAACAGTATAAAAATGAACTGTGTTGTAAGTCTCTTGATTTTGGGGATGATAAAAACAACTAAATGGTGAGGGATGGAGGACTTAAAAAGAGAAGCAGAGCCTCTCTTACTTAAAAAAACATGATTTCCTGTTACACAATCAAATGAGAAGACTTTAAAAGATTTTAAATGATGTCCTGGGCAACTATGAACTTAACAGCATAACATTTTGAATTTTTTTTAAGTTGTTAAACAGATTGTGATATGAGTATTGTTCACAGCTTTTAGACAAATCTCTGTTGAAAATCAAGAGCTAACGGCACAGCTGAGTGATTTCAAATTTTGAGTTTTGCCAGTCAGGAAGCTTCAGTCAAGGGGGTCTTAGAAAGCTGGAGCTGAAGAGAGCTTGGCTGAGGAAAAGGTTCGCACTACGAATCAGCCAAGTTCTCATGCCCCCACGCCATTCTTTACCTGTGCCTCCCTACCTGCCAGTCTTTCCTGTCTGTCTTCTACACTGAATGATGACTTCCTCCAGCGCTGGCTGCCCAACCTGTCTAGGGAGCTCTGAGCTTGCCTTACTGAGATGAAATGTCAAAGGATTCTTCTCAGGCCCTGACCAATCTCAGAGGCAAAAGGATTGGGGTCTTACCTAGGAAGATACCAGTATTTGCAAACTGGAGACTAAAGTTGCTCAGCCTTGGCCCTCAGCTTATTCCTTTGTACTAAGAATATTCTGGATGTTTGCAGCTTCCTCTCACTGATTACACTCTTCCACCAAGCCACCCTTGCCCAGTTGCAGGTTCCTCCTTCTCTCCCCTCAATGCTAGCACAGAATCCCTGCCCCCTGCACAAGTGGTTATCCAATAAAATAAAATTTGAAACCACTAATTAGAAGTACTTTCTTTTGAATAGAGCTAAGGTAGGGACACTGTTCCCTTTCCTAGAGCTTTTCATTTCAGGAGCACACATCTAGTTGCTTTTGGAGGGGACCAAGATGAGAAAGAATCACTCGCTTTGATTTCTGTGTACCTTTGTTTGAAGTAGAGCCCTGCACCTCAGTGCATGGAGCCTGGGGATGGTTTGACAAACAAAATTCCTCAGGCCCTGAAAACTACTTCCTAACCCCTGGGGCTCCCCTGACAGAACCGGAAGTGCAGGGAGAAGCTTAGCCTGGTGCAGCACAGATGTTTCTATTTGTATCTTCCCCAGCACAGGTGCATTTGTTTTGCTTTGTTTTTTAAATTTTGGGGTTTCTTTTTTTTTTTACCTTGAGACAAGATCTTGCTACATAGTTCAGACTAGACTTGAACTAACTATGTAGCTCAGGGTGGGCTTGAATTCAAGGCAATCCTCCTGCCTCAGCCTCCTGAGTGCTGGTGGGATTATAGATGTGCACTGCCAAGCCTGGCTAATTTTTTTTTTAATTATCCAAGTACTTTACAACAGGATGATAGAAAAGATAGCTTGAGGGCATCACAGGAATTAGCAAGGCCTCACCTTCCCAGGGTGCAAAACTGAAAGTCTTTGCTTTGGGAGAAGAGCCCATGGCACCTTGCTGGAGAAGGAGAATGATCTCCTGGGGCACTGATTCCCTGGGATTCAGCTCACAGTGCTCACTCATCCTGTCACGCAGAGGCCAGCACAACTGCAATACAAGGGGCCCTGGGTACTGCTCAGGCTGGCGGCAGACCTTGACCTCATCCATTGGCGCCAGTTTTATGGGCATGCAGAATGTAAGGGTTATGGGATCAGAGAAGCTTCCATCCAGTTTTCAGAAGGCCTGGGAGGCCAGGCAGTGTGCCCCTGAGAAGCAGTGTGTGAGGCTATGAAAGTGAAGCCAAAGTGCAGTAGAGACCCCAAGATGCTGGAGAAGCCAGGAAGGTGGGTCATCCGAGGAAAGCTTTAAGGAGAGATCAAAAGCAGCCCAAGAAAGAAGCCATGAGGGCTACAACCACTGGTAACGCCTTAGGGGCAGCACTGCCCAAACCCTTTGGAGTTCCCACCTCCCCACAACTAGCCCCAGGCACTGGACATGCAACTACAGGATTTAATGTTTGTCCTGCTGAGTTTCAGTCTTGCTTTGGCCCCATTGTTTTCGATTCCCCTATTCCTCCCCTTAGGAATGGGAATGTTTGCCCTGTGCCATTATATGTCAGTGTTTAACTTTCTTTTTGTTCTTTACAGAGACTCATAGATAAGACTTTAAGTCTCAGATGAGGCTTTGGATTTGGATTTTTCAGCAAAGCTGTAGCTCCTCCCTTCACTCTTTGCTTCTTCGATGCCATGACATGAGGAGCTATTCTGCAGTGCGCCTGAGCCAGGCCATTCTGCCTTGGAGCCAGCCGACCATACAAGACTGAGACTGCTGAACTGTGAGCCAAAATAAACCTCTCTTCTTTGAGTTGTGTGTGTCGGGTATTGCGTCTCAGTGAGGATGAAACTGACTAAGACAAGTGAATAAACTAATCCTTCACTCTCATTCCCCTTCTTGCTTTCTCTACTCAGTCTCAAATTACATTCTGTTCATTCTTGCCACTTCATTTCTTCCATTTCTCTATCAACCCAGTGCAGCCTGCCTCCTTTCCTGCAAATCCACCCGTTCCATTCTCATCCTACTCAACCAGTAATGTTCATGTAGTCACATCTGTGGGGAGTTTTGTTTTGTTTTAAATCACGTGAAATATTTTAATATATTCTGAACTGCCTGGAAGAATGTCAGAAAAAGGAATATCACTGTCCCTGCTGGCTTAGAGGAGAAAATTCAGGTTCCTCCACAGAAGTAGAGGCCTTCGATGACTTCCCTGAACTTGAGCTCCAGACACAATATGTGGCTTCCCATCTGGGTGTCCTTGGTTATATTACACCCTCTACCTGAATCCTTACATCTTTTTTTTTCTTTTAATTTTGAGACAGGGTTTTCCTCTGTAGCACAGGCTGGTTTGGACTTGAAATCTCCCTGCCTCAGCCTCCAGAGTGCTGGGATTGCAGGCTTACTCCACTATGCCAAGCTCCCTACCTTTTTGTCACCTTCCAGACTTCCGCTCCTCTATGAAATTCTCTGATTGGAAGGCGCCTCCCTGTTAGGTCTTTCCTGGCCCCCTGACCACTTCTAGCCTGGTTGTAGATGTGCCCATCTTTGTTCTCTGTGATGTGATTTTTAAACTTCTCTTGCACCTACCACTCTGTCCTATACGAGACTGTTTACAAGCACCTCCCCAAAGTGGCTCTAAATGCCCTAAGAACAGGGACCACCTTAGAGACCCAAGAGAGGAGTAACCCCCATGGCCTCAAGAGATTTCCTCTTCAGCCTGCATGGTGTGTGCTCAGAATGTTTTGGATGCTAGGAAGTAGATCCTGTGCTTTTCTTCCCCTTTTTCCTCTGCTTACATTGTTCTGGCTCTATCTCAGCTTCTGGTGCTGCTATGATAAATAACAGTCCTGGAACTTAGAATTTGGACTCTTCGATTTTTAGCACCAGAGACTCAGAAGCTGAAGGGTTTCTGTCAGGTCTCATGTTTATGGTCCAACAGTTGACAGTGCATCAGGTGAGCGGCTATCAGAGTGGGACACGGCAGAGAGGTCAGCACGTGGTGGGGGGGGGGTGCCCTCAGGTAGGTGCATGTTTGTGGATGTGCCTGGGGCTGCTCTTCAACTCTTGTTTACCAAAACAAAAAACAAGCTGGACAAAATATGCCATTACTTGGTAAGAAATGCCATGTAAATGACTATAACCTTTCTGGAAAGGAATTTGGTATCCACTCTCATAGGACTCTAATATATCTGTCACCTTTGGTCCATTGATTCTACATACAGGAAGATTAGAAAGACATGGCAGGCAGTTTATGGACAACGCAGTTTGCCATGGATTCGTACCTAATCACTATTAATATGACCATTCGACATGGTCCTAATAATCTTATGGTCAACATCATCTTACATAATAATCATTAGTGGATTTCCAGACTCATCAATAAAAGAGTAGTTAAGAATTACCAAATACCCATATATATGTTCACTATAGACTGGACCATAAAATTTACTAATCTCAGTTTGTGTTGATGTGACATCCACATACATGGACATGGACATGAGTATATATTTGTATATATAGCTACAATATATAGCATATAAAGAAAAAAGCTAGGAGGAAATCCAACAAAGTGGTGCTTTGTTTCTTAGTTCATTTCTTTGTTGGAACAAGTTTTCCTGTGTAGTCAAGACTGGCCTCCAACTTGCTATATAGCTCAAGCAAGCCTCAAAGTTGAGATTCTCTTTCCTTAGCCTCCTGAGAGCTGGGTTTACAAGTGTGTGTGGCCATGCTCAGCTCACCAAACTGTTTTGGTGACTTTCATTCTTACCTCTGGATGGTGAGATCATAGCCAGACCTATTTTCATCTTCCTACTTTCCTGCATTTTTCAAATTTTGTACCAGTATTGTTTTCTTTTATGATGCAAATTGTCTCAACTGTAGTAAGATCAATGAGGCGAGGAGTCAGGTGGAGATGTTTAGTAGAGAGCATTACTGTACAAGGAAAGGAATTTTTAAAGAGAGAAAACTGCCTCTTATACCCTTCCTGAGTGAGTGAAAACACAGGATGAACTTGGTCTGAATGGGATAATTCTAAATAGGAAAATGAATGAATAGCATCAGTCCTTCAGTACATGACTCTCTTCTTGCTGATATCATCTATTAATTTTTCCTTTTAAAGCTTCCTGAGTTGACTGAGACTAAGATTTTAGCTGCTTTCCCATGGAGTTCTCAGTCTCCAGAAACAACTACTGTGACACAGAGGACTCATTTTCTGAAGACAGTTTGAACCCTACCCTCTCTGAGGGCTACATCCCTTGTGAGGACACCGTTTCCTGCGAGGACACAACCTTACAGGAAGAAATCACTTTCAATGTGGACGTTTCAGTCCAATTGCTATTGACTAGAGAAGGCAGAGGGGGAATGGAAAGTGAAAATTCACCCTTAAATAGACAAGATCAAATTCAAGACTCCTCGGAGATGGTTTTCATGCAAAGCAGTGCCCTGCCCTGGCATGATCATGATGATATATTGGTGAATGAAGACTACATCTTACAAAGTCTGCTGAATAACCTTCATGGCTATCTACAAAGCCTAAGTGATAATGAAGAAAATCAAACAGATGACAATGAAAATCAAACAGATGAGAATGAAGATAAGAGAGATGACAATGAAAATGAGAAAAGTGAACAAATACAGGAAAATGACAAAGTTGAGGAATCTGTGTTCCCAGAAACATCAGAGGGACATGGTTTCCAGCTGGGCAGCAGCTCCTCGCCACACATGGCTCAGATGAGTCATGGAGAAAGCGATACCTGTCAAGACTCGCCCAGGTGTAAATCTTCAGAGAACAAAGATGTGGCCCAGTTCCCAGAGATGACGCCAATGCTTAAGGGACAGAACCTTACTAAGGTGAGCACAGAGATGCCCCTCAGGAGAGCAAGGGAAAGGCCCAACGAGGGTGCCAGGCTGCAAGAACAGAGCCTTAATATCTTCTGCAAAGTGGGGCTGGACACTGGGTGTCTGGCATGACTAGCAGGGAGAGAGGAAGACAGTAGGACAAGAACTCAGGGAAGAGTTGTGGAGAAAATACCAAGGAGACGGAGGGAGAGGGGGATAGGAATAAGGAGAAGGTCTAATAATTCTGCAAAAAAGTGTGTGGATATGAGTGTGGGTTTTAGCTACTAGATGAAAGCTGAACATATTCACTTAAAGTTGGGCTATTTCTGATAACAGGATTCCAGATGTGTAAATGAATAAATATTGACTCCAGGGTGGTCAGTGGTGCCTGTATGTAACTCAGTCTCCTTTTCTTGGCAGGTGGTGAACCAGGCAATGGGCAACCAAAAGGCAAGCTCTGCAGAGGCCTGCTGGACCTCTTCAGTGGAGACAGAAAAGAAGAGTACTTCTTCCAATACACAAACCACAACCTGTGTGAACTGTAGACGCAGCTTCCGCTGGATGAGGAAGAGAGTATGCTGCTGTGTAAGGAGGAGAAGGAATGCTAAGCAGTCCACCCAGAGCCCCTGTCAGTGAGCACCAAAGAGAAGGTGTCCTATTAGAGGCAAGATGATCCAATAAGAAGAATCCTTCGAGTAATTAGCATAGCCCTATCTCCAGATTGTCAAAACACATACTCAAAGAAGTTGGGGAAACCACACAGTTGTGGAGTTGTGGAACTCGTATTTGAGACAGACTCCCTAGAGATGGTTTCAGCTGGGGTTGGATATAGATAGAGTGACCCCGAAGCCTTCATTTGTTGAAATTTAATCCTCACTGTGAGATATAGAGAAGGCAGACATTTTACATGACCATTGAACACAAGATGTTCACCATGATTCCCATGCCTGCTTTCTTGTGGCTTCTAGAGCTCACTGTCTGGGGTCTCTTGCAGAGTACAGTCCTGCTAGTATATCAGTTAAAAGATGAACTTGAGAATGTTAAAATTGATAAACATTTCTTCTATCTTTGCTTGTAGTCTATGTGTGTCCTTCAAAGTGAAGTGAGTTTCTTCTAAGCAGAAAGGATCTGGGTATTGTTTTATTATCTATTTAGCCAATCTATGTCTTTTCATTGGAGAGTGTAATGCATTTACATTAGAGGTAATTATCAATAAATACAGCCTTACTAAACCAGTTTTATAATTTTTAAATTTTTATTACATTTTCTTTCTTTTTTCCTCACTTACAATCTTCCTTTATCATTAAGTGATTTACTCTAATATTATGTTTTGATTCCTTGCTTATTGCTTTGAGTTCATCTATATAGCCTTTGCTCTGTGATTACCACTAGGCTTACAAAGCAACTGTTGATCAAGGTATTTTGAAAGGATAACAACAAAGCATGATCACAACAAAAGATAAAATATAGTCATAAAAAACTCTAAACCTGTTCTCCATTCTTCCCCACAAATGCATTTCCAATTTTTTATATCTTTCCATATTTCCCATTTTAACATCTTCAAGTAGTTTTATTTTTAGTTGTTTTGTATTTTAGTCTCATACTAAAGATATGAATATTTTATGGACCATGTTTACAGTATTAGAGCACTCTGAATTTGTTTCTGTAGTTACCCTTTTTAGTGATTTTTTTCACCTTCTGATGTTTTCTTCATAGTTATTAAGGTCACTTTATTTGAAGAACTCCCTTTAGTATTCTTATAGAACATGTCTGGAGGAGATATATTGTCTCAGGTTTTGTTTGTTAATAAATGTCTTCTCTCTCCTTCACTTCTAAAGGACAGCTTTACTGCATACAAGAATCTTGGTTGGCAGGCCTTTTTCTTCCACAGCTGTAAAATACTCATGCCACTCTCATCTGGCCTGAAAGGTTTCTCTGGAGAAGACTTCTATCAGAAGACTGAGAAAGACATGGTGTTTGTTTTTCTCATGGTGCTTTGGGAATCTTCTCTTTATCTTTCACCTTGAGAGCTTGATTATAATATTACTTGATTTTCACTCTATCCTAGTCACCTTCCTTATTACTGAGTCCCTAAGCAACACCCACAAACTTAAAGGAAGAGAGCCTCACTGTATACTTACAGTCCATGGTCAAATGGCTCCGAGGTGGGAGGGCATGGCAGAGGGGCACAGCAGAGGGAAAGTTTCTCACATCATGACAACCAGAAAGCACAACAAAGGTACCAGACGGGGGCGGGGGGCGGGTAGATATATCCTTCCAGGCCATGCCTCTAGTGACACAGCTCCTCCGACCAGACCCCACTTCACAACAGCACTACAGCTCTATCATCTCCCTAATCCAATCACCTGCCAAACACATGAGGCTTTGGGGGCCATTTTATGTCTAAAATATAACATGTCACATCTGGCCCCCAAAAGACCCATGGACATCTCTTTATGCAAAATACATTTAGTCCATCTCTAAGAGTTTTCAAAGTCTTAACAATTTCAGCAGTGCTGAACAGTCCCAGTCCAAAGATTCTTCTGAGACTCTTAGCTGTTAGCCTTATAAAAACTAAAGAGGAAGTCAAACACTGCCAACATACAATGGCACAGAATAAACAGTCCACATTCCAAAAAGGAATACAGGGAAAGAAGTCAATGGGACCAAGGCAAGACAGAAACCCAGCATGAGGAAAAAAAAATTCTGTAGCTCCATGTTCAGCACCTGAGGCAAGTTGTGGAGAGATACAAACTGGAACTAGCTTGGGTAGCCCCACCCCTCTGTCACTGCCAATGGTTGTAGCCCTCATGATTTCTCTCTTAGGGTGACTTTGCTCACTCCTGTGCCCTCCCTCAGATGTTCCACATTTCTGGCTCCTTCAACTTTCTAGTGTTTTGTTTCCACTGAACTTTTGGGCCTTCACTCTCACAACTTCATGCACTGTCCTCTGAGGGGCACACTGCCTGCCCTCCCAAGCCTTCTTAAATCTGGATGGAAGCTTCCATGAACCCACAACTCTTGCATTCTACAGATCTAAAAACCAGCATCACAAGGATAGATAATGCCAGAGACTGCCACCAGCTTGAGCAGTAGTCAGGCCTCCTTTTATCATGGCTGCAGTGGCCTATGAGTATGTGAAAGACTGATCACTGTGAACCAAATCCTGGTAAACCAATTACATAGGTGGCTCTTCTGGAGCAGGTTGCCTGGGGCTCTCTTCTCAAAGCAAAATCTTATCCTTCTGGACTCAAGGCAGCAAAAGGTGAGGTACTGTGCATTCCATACAGGTCCTCAACCCATTACAATATTGTCTTGACATAGAGTATTTGGCTTCTCTTTAACATTAATTTTTAAATCAACCAAGCTTTCCTTGACCAAAATTTTGTAAGTTCTTCCTCTCTGGGAAAACAGAAAACTTTTAAAATCATTCAGCTGTACTGTTTGCTCTTGATTCTCAATTTATAGTTGGCTATAAGCCCTTAAGAGTACCTATACACATGCTACAGTCTGAACATTAGGCTGTCTTGAAGTTTCCTCTTCCATACTTGGTGGTTGAAAAGGGTAGCATTATAAAATAGGCAAACACCTTAGATCAGGACAATAGGAAAATTGGCTTAAGGGCATGCCAGGAATGAGCAAGGCCTCATTTTTCACAGGCTCAAAACTCCAACAGTGAAAGACTTTGCTTCAAGAGAACCCCAGGACACTATATTCCAGAAGAGCAGCAGCCTAGGGAATTTTTAATGTGGGATTCAGTTCATAGCACTCAGCCATTCAGGCAGTCTTTGATATAAGGACTTCTGCAGCCATGATACAAGGGAGCCCAGCTACTGTAACACACAATGACCAAAATCCCACCAGTGGAAGTGGATGCAATGCACTCCACAGGAAGGATGTGATGAAAGGTTTAATTACCACTCACACTCATAAATAAGAACAGCACTTGAATTTGACATACAGTGGACCCTCAAGTTATGATGGCCCTGACATATAACAATTTGGATTACAACTGGAATTTTAGTTTTAACTCATGACTTAAGCATTGAGTTATTACCTGAATGCCAGCCACTTCTGCTTCTGAATAGTCTGATACAGATTTAACCCTTAAAGAGTTCTGGAAAGAACATTATAATACCTTTTCATTTGTGGGGTTAATTGAGAAATCCTGGACCAATGTCTCTCTAAGGACACTGAGATCTGCCTGTATACAGGAGAGAGACTTTGAAGACTGTGTAGAGGAGCCTGAGCTTTCAATTGACCAACTTGAGTTACAACCAGACCTCATGAATGACTTGAGTTCATAAGTCAGGGGTTCACTGAATGTTCATATTCTATGCCCTCTGTTCTCCCTGAAGAGTACATACACCAAAGCAAACACAGTGCCTGGGTGAAGAAGGTACAAAACAGAATCAGGGACCCAGAACTCTACTTCTTTGTTCTTTCCTGGGATGCTTCAGGAGAAATAAAAATCACATAATGATAAAGGGAAAAAGAAAAGATCTTTGTCCTTACTTGTATTTCATTTCTACCATTCTTTCCTGGAATGCTTCAAAAGAAAAAAATTCACTTAATGATAAAGGGGAAAACAGAGGTCTTTGCCCTCACTTGTGTTCCATTCCAGTGCTCATTGGAGTAAAAAAGATTGACATGAATTAGAAATAAGGCCAATAAAATGGCCTATGTGTTCATCAGCAGATGAATGGATAAAGAAAATGGGGTATTTATACACAACAGAGTTCTCCTCTTCCATCAAGAAGGATGAATTTGAATCATTTGTAGGAAAATGAATGCACCTTGAGACCATAGTTTTAAGTGAAATACATCAGACACAGAAGTTTGGGTATCATATGCTTTCCCTTATATGAGAAATTCAGTGTAAATAATTTAGAGTAAAATAAAAAATAGCTAATAGGAAATATGAAAGCAGATCTTTTGCAAATGAGAAAAGGACCAAGAGGTGAAGGGAAGGGAGAGGAAGGAGAAATAAAAAGAATTAAGTTCTTTTATGTCCATGTACCAACTCCCCACAGTGAATGCAATCATTATATACTGCAAGCATGTACTAATAAAAAATGTTTAATTAAACAAAAACAAACAAACAAAATCTATTGTGCCTATCTTAGTGTGAA